CCCATTTTTTGTTCATTTTCCCCGGCGGCAATGGGTTAACAGCGTTTGAGTCTTGTACACCAAGGAGCAGCGCAAATTCCGATCGCCATTCAGTTGTGGCCTCCAGAATTTTGCCTTGTCCTTGGCTCCTTGCCAGTGGACTGCTTAAAGAAAGTCAGGTTGTTGAGTGTTAGAAATCGGGATAGATTTCTAGATGGGATAGATGCTAGAGAAACGAAGGGTTTTGAAGTGAACCTGAATGATAATCATGACCAGTAAACCCTGCAGTTCTGGGGGATCTTCCATAGAGTGCTAACTGGAATGTGGTCAATTACCTTGGCCAGTGATTTAGGTTCGCCCCAATCTCTAGGATCTAACAAAGTCCCGGAGTAGAAGGATATTATCGCTATATTGAGATCAGCTCCCAAGCCATGGGGACCAACAAACATCCCATAGCCAGCTTGTTTCTTCAAGAACGATTGTACTGAACAGGTCCAAGTTTGGCGTGGACCTCTTCCAAATCGAGTATGAAAATTTTCGTAGGAGCATATAGAGCAGTAAGAGGCAAGAAGCCTAAAGCATGCTTCCGTCTCGATGCCATTATGTGATCAGAGTTACCCCTTCTACCGAATACTTCAGTTGACTTGAGATGGTGCCCAATAGTAGGCGTAACCATCCACACTGAAAATTTTTACGTTAATTTAAACTGAATTTTATATCACCTACACATAATCTAAATCTTTCCATAAAGTTTGAATCTGAAAAGATGACAGTCACTAAACAGGACCATGTAGATTATTATGCATTGGTCGGGGACCACAGAATAAAATAGGTTGGGAACCACTGCCCTAGATGATCGATTACCCAAACGATTAGCTATCGTCAAGACAAGACATCGTCAAGACATTACAAGCTCCCACCTGGACAGTCCGCCTGAGGTTGATGGTTAATGCTTTATAACAAATGTGCTAGACATCAAAAGCCATACAGCCAGGGCCGGATTATGACCTTTTGGGGCCCCTAGGCTAATGAAATTATGGGGCCCCCTCAGAATATTTTTTACTTGTGATATATTTTAGCGACATATATATAGCTTGAAGTAAACTTGTTGCAATTTCTAAAAATAAACTAGCATAGCTATCTTTTGTTTGTCAATAAAAATATTCTTTAAAGACCACTAATTTACTATATTTCAAGACAACCATAGTTAAAAAAAACAACATTTTTTATAACCAAGCCCCTCAAGCTTGGGGCCCCCAAGCTTGAGGGGCCCGGGGCTGCAGCCTATACTAGCCCCTAGGATAATCCGGCCCTGCATACAGCACTATGGTAAAGTATTATGGTGGAGAGGATTTAAAGGAGTTCTTTATCAGAACAAAATGTCTTAAATTTCAACGGTCATGGTATTATAAGATTGGTAGTTGAGGGGTGGAAAGAGAGGAAGTGAATGGGATAGGGATTAATAGAAAGGGGAAGCGTCTAAGATAAAAGGTGATTAGATCAAATGGAAGATATTTATGCATCTGAGGAAGGAAAATAGTGAGGGTGTATGACAGGTTGAACGGTCGAGGGAGAGAGAACAAGGAAAAACAAAGGGTACGGGCTATAACAAAGTGAAGGCAAAATAGTAGGATATGTGGCACTGAGAGAGGAACATTGCATGAGGGGCATAGAGTTGGGTTGGAGCATGATATGAGGTATGAATGTGTAAGGCGAATGTGACCTATTTGTAAATGGGCAAGGGCAGTTTCACAGCGTCTGTTCTGGTGGTATGGTACTGACGAAGGAGAGATCCAAGTTTTTTTATGGTTTGTAGTTCATTGATGGTCAATCCTGACCAGAAAGATTGCTAATGGAAAGTTTTGAAGTTTTGAGGGTAGAATTTGGTGGCTAGGATGTGGACAAGGATCATGCCAAGGCATCTACTTTTTCATTGGCTGTTTTCTGTCGTGTATGCAGAAAAAATCAATTGATCCTGTATTTTTGGAGTATAGGGTTGATGTAGTGTATGGATTGTATATGTGATATTGAGTTGAGTGAGTTAGTGAAGATGGTGAAGGATGAGGAGGGGATGGAAGATGTGTTGCAAAGTGAAGATAGCATCCAGTTCTGTTGTAAGGACACTCGATTCAGGAGGAAGGGGAAAGTTGAATGTGTGAGAGGGAAAGACTACAGCAAGATAAGTACCCAGGATGGCTTTGGAGTCCTCTGTATAAACATGATACCAGAGGAGTGACTAGAGATATGTGCAAAAAAATGTGTGAGGAGGATAGAAGGTGGGATGCTTGATTTGGGTGGATCAGAGAAAATAGAACAGCAATTAAAGGAGAAAGGTATTAGCAAGGGAGGGAATGTTTGGGTAGAAAGAGGAAGGGATCAGAGATAAGGAATGGGTGAATAGGAAAGCAGAGCATCTATACGAACTGGTAAAGGGGCAGGTAAATGTGGAGAGGAGGAGAATGTATGAAGAAGGGACTGAGAGACAGTTAGCTTATAGAGAGAAGCGGGATGGTAGGCCTCATTCACTGTATTGGCTCTCAATTGAAGAGGATCGTAAGGTACCTAGGGCTACATGGAGACCACAGTGGTGGATTGTGTCAAGTTCATTGAGAAGGGAGGCAGGGGCAGAATATATATGACAGCCATAATCAAGGGTGGAAGGGATTGGGTAATATGGAGATGGAGGAGTGTTTTGCGGTTTGACAAATGTGACAAAGGGGCTGTAAGAGTCAAAGTCGATGGAGGGCTTTTTCTTTAAGATAGAGGATATGATCTTGCTAAGACAGTTTGGAGTCGAAAATGGGAGCCTATAAGTGAACGAGAAAAAAGGATGGAATAGATTTTAGAGGTAGAATATTGAAAGCCGTGGTTGGTAGCCCAAGAAGAAATTAATGTTATTGTCGACTTGAGGAGATGATGGAAGGACCAGAAACTAGGTCATCAACTTATAGTGATGATCAGATTCCTGGTAATAGAGTGGAGACTAATAAGTTTACGGCAGTGAGAAATAGTGTGGTACTGAGCACACCACCTTGTGGGACACTTTCGAATTGTGGGAAAGAGCAAGAAGTGGAAGAAGTAAATCTGACACACCCATGTTTCTGTGTATGCCATTTTTGGTGTTAATTTAGTAGGATAAGGTCAGTATTGGAGAGAGTGCTCTAAGGAGTGACCTTGGGAAGTAACAGTAGAGTCCAGGGTGTGGTGACAGTTAAAGTCTCCAGCTATCAGGAAAGGTGGTTGGAGTTGGGAAAGTAAGGTTGTAAAGCCTGTAATGTCATTAGGAGAGGAAGGAGAGAAATAGACTGAAATAATTGTGATCCAGAGGTGGTGAAAAGTCTGGATAACTGTGCAAGGTATAGTAGTTTGTAAGGGAGATATGACATGGTGTTTTATGATGGACAAGTATGGATAGAGATAGAGAATGAGGGAATGATACAAAATGGTAATTGGGTATTAGTCCTGGAAGATTTGTGAGGAAGGTTTTTGGAGGCAGACAGTGGATAGGTTATAAAAAAAGATAGGAGGTGACAAAGGTCAAGTCTGTGAGAAGGGAAACCTCGAATGTTCCACTTTAAAAGAGTCATTGTGGATCAATCAGCAAGTGATAAAGGTAGAGATGGATGCCTGAGAGGTAAAAGGAGGAGCATCTGAGGGATATCGGTAGTAACTTTGATTGTAGCCGGAATCAGAAATTGGAAGATGTATGAAAGAGAGGAACTTTCTCTTGGGTTATACCTAGGAAGTGTCTGATGTTTTCAAGGGTTACTGGAAGGGATTTGGGTGGAGAGTTTTGGGGAAAAAAATGTGAGGAGGTGAAGAGTAGATAGGCATCTGAAGGGTTGTGGATGTAAGTGTGGGATGGAATGTGGTAGAAGATGGGGGGGAACGTTTGGATAGTCTGGTGCGAAAGGTAATGCGAGGAGTAGGGAGAGACATAGAGGCAGTTGTGGATATTGGAGTGTCTGGATTTAGAATGGAAAAAGGATTTGACTGGGGCTTGGGGAAAGTAGAGGTGGGAAGTTGTGGAGTAGGGAGTAGTGGTACTGAGGAAAATATAGAGACTACTTGGGTAGAGGGGATAGGAGTGGAGTGAAGGATGGTATTAGAGTAGGAAGTGAACTTGGGTAGAGGGGATAGGAGTGGAGTGAGGGATGGTATTAGAGTAGGAAGTGATAGAAAAGCCTAGTCGGCGTGCTTCTTGTCCGGCCCTTCGAAGAGTAAGGCCAAGTTTGTATCTGAGAACTGCTACCTCAGACTCAGACTTGTAGGCAAGGCAGCCCCTATAAAATACATTATGGGAGCCACTGCTATTGACACATGTTAAGTTGACAGCACATGTCGAGGAGGGGGGTGTAGTAGCAGTGGTCGGAGCCGTGAGCATAGAAGAGTAAGGTGTCGGTAAACCAGAGGAGTTAGATTCAGAGAGGCTAGTTGATAGAGGGACAAACCTCAATGCCCCTGATGAGGGTCAAAATCTTCATTACTGGCCATGGTAAGCCTGAAATAAGTGGGGAAATAAAAGGTCCACTCCTCATGGCCCGCTTGAGGGGTAAGGGCTAAACAATTAACCAAGGGAGTACCGTGCCCATGGCTCCCTGAAGCCGTTCATGACTGGCACAAAGTCAGCCTTTCATCCTTTCAAACACGGCTCACACTCCTTAGGAATTGAACCGGGGACATTAGCAGGGCAGAAGAAAAGACGGTGCAAAATTAGTTGAGGCAAGGGCTGAGGCTCATGGTAAGGAAAATTCCCTAACATTGGGCCTCAGTCTTCGTCTCCTAAGCTCCCTCACGACAACAACGGCCTGAGATTAAACCGCGTACAAGCACCACCGCTGCCACCCCCACCTATTTAAGGAAATGGGATTTTTCTTTTTCTGTACGCTGGTAATGACTGATGTTAATATAAAATGCTAGCATTAATCACACACACACACACACACACACACACACACACACACACACACACACACACACACACACACACACACACACACACACACACACACACACACACACCATATCATCTGTCTTCTCCCAGTCATTTTCTATCACTTACCAACCCCCATATCTCCTCACTTCATTATCTTTCCTTTCATTATTATTTCCTTTCCTTGCTTTTTTCCTTTCTCTTCCCGTTTTTTTCCCACTCCCATCACTGTCAGATTCTGTCATCCTTATTATATAGATATTTTTTTTAACCAATCCAATAAATTTCATTTCAGGAGTTGTCAATTGCAATCATGTTGTACAAATCTCCATATGCTTCCCAAGTCCGGCGGTTCTTGCAAGACCTGGACTTTGAGGTTCTGAAAAGCATTGCATCAACTGCGACAGAGAGAAAGATCGAAGTAACTACAAAGAAAGGTATTTTTACCCTTTTTGTCACTGTCTCTTCTTCCTCTTCTTCTTCTTCTTCTTCTTCTACTTCTTCTTCTTCTTCTTCTTCTTCTTCTTCTTCTTCTACTTCTTCTTCTTCTTCTTCTTCTACTTCTTCTTCTCCTCCTCCTCCTCCTCCTCCTCCTCCTCCTCCTCCTCCTCCTCCTCCTCCTCCTCCTCCTTCCACTCCTTCTTCTCCTTCTCTTCCTTCCCCTCTTCTCCTCTTCCTCCCCTTCCTTATCCTCCTCTTCCGCCCTTTCCTTCCCATCCTTCCCTTTCTCCTACTCCCTCTTCTTCTCCTCCCCCCCTTCCTTTCCTCCTCCTCCTTCCCTCATTTCTCCTCCTCCCCTTCCTCCTCCTCATACTCCTCATACTGTCCTTCCACCTCTTCCACCTCCTCCTCCTCCTCCTCCTCCTCCTCCTCCTCCTCCTCCTCCTCCTCCTCCTCCTCCTCCTCCTCCTCCTCCTCTTCCACCTCCTCCTCCTCCTCCTCCTCCTCCTCCTCCTCCTCCTCCTCCTCCTCCTCAGTAGGCTCAGCCATTCTATTTTTACTTTGTGTATGTCAAACTGTGTTACGTATACTGGCTAAATAAACGTTATCAATCAATCAATCAA